TGCCATCTTCCCCGTATTTATTCATGAAAAGTTCTCGTGCGGATCATGTACCGCAAAAATCGCCTTCATTAGAAGAGGATCCTGTGAATGGAGACGACTTTCCTTCGTGTCCTGCATTAGGATTCTTATTTTTTCAGGTGAGGTTTTTTATAGTTTTTTGAGCGTGTGCAGATTTTCCTTCATACCGGTGTTTTTCCAGATATCCAGGCTTAAACAAAGTCAACTAAGTTTGGAGAGAGAGCTTGTTCTTCGGTCACGCATCATTAGTGAGCAAGAGAAAACCATTGCTACTTTGAAGGCATCTGAGCCAAATTTCGACAAAACTCGTCTGCGTCATTCGTGGGATTCTTCGAAACTTTGCTATGACGAAGATGGCCTTCTTCGTGAACTCGAAGCTGTTCGTCAAAAAGTTTTGGAACTAGAAAAGCGTAATGTCGAGCTTGATGAACGCTGTTTCAGACTGGAGTTGGAGAATAGTTCTCTGAAGCGTACTCGTGTAACTGGTGGTGCCTTGAAGTGACATAATCGTGCAATGCGTGTCTTAAGAGGAACAGAATACGAGAACTGTGTTTTTGCGTGCCAAATTGAAGGAAGTGAGGATTTATGCTGCTAGTCTTCCGTGTTCAGTATGCTTGTATATAAAGTTTATTCGGGTCAATACAGTCTGAATTCCATGGATAATAATGGGAAGATTCTAACACATGTTTGTGGCTATACGCTTGTATTATTTTATTTCGAGTATTCGGATTCTCTGAATGTAATTGCAGATTTTCGAGAAGTCAAATACTCCAGCTACTGGTACACTTTTGCGGATTACGCATACTTGGGATACCTTTCTAATTTCGGAAGCTTAGATGTGAAAAACAATGGAACATACGGGTTTTCTCCCGTTCTGACCGATGAGAGAGCTGATGGTGGTTTTGAAGTGGAATAAGTTTTACATCGGTCGGATACATATCAATCAAATGACTTACAGTATGTTAATCAATCTTTTGTCATGTTAGTTTAGTAATTAAGTGACAGCTGAGGATTTAAGCGCAGTACTTGGTCGAAAGTTCTGAATTTTCAGATCGTGGGACGATGAGCCACTGTTTCCAATTACTTATACCATTATCTTCGGATCTACGTGCGATACCTTCGCTGAAGATAGCAAATATTTCTCTATCGTATCTGTCTTAAGAATGCAGCTTTCGCCAAAACAACTATGGAGTTTTCTGTTGAATTTTCAATTTTCCCCACAAATATTTTGGCTTGCTCATTTACTCGTGAAAACCTTATCGACGTGAAAAATTATGTAAGCTGGCCTTATCTTGAAACTGTGTGGCAACTGGCAGCATTGCGCTTCGCAAATTCGTTGCATATCGAAGTTTCCTTCGAAGTTAGTGACGATGAGGCTAGTTTTGCTTGCGGCATTGCTGGGAATATGTTATTGCACACAACTGGTGAGAATTTTCTTACAATTTTAATTTATTTCATGCACACCTAGATTTTGAGCTTAGTTTTTTTTTTAGGTTAAAAAATTCGTCATGCGTTCGTACGCGTGACACACTGACAATAATGTATACTCGAAGTAGGGCAATAAGAGTATTGTCCATTACTTCGGACTTCCCAATGATCAGGACTAATAATTGTGTGCGTTCGCGTGGATGATAATTTATTTGTTACACTTGGGCTAATTCTGGGCGATTACTGGCATGCGCGAAGCCATATCAGGAGTAGTTGAGACAAAACTCATGGGTAGACAGCGAAATAAGAAATATGCTCAAGGTTGAATTATGAACATCGTCCTAGGATAAGGCTAATAAATCCAATCCATGTGCCAACATGGAAGCCACTTGCAAATATTACCATTGGCCAAAAGTGATTCTTCTTGGGTTAGGAATTCGTTGATATTTAGAAATGTGTATCACGCGATATTCTCAACTTTTAAAAAAGGATTTCCGAATTTGACCTTCGCATATTATTTCCGACGTCTCACATGAACACAGTGCAACACGCGAACATTCATTCACTTGGTCAAAATTCCTACAATCCAGTCCAGGTACTTGTCGACCCTTGTGTATAGTCCGGGATATTCCTTCAACCCACAGCCATGTCCTGCAGAAACAACTCCAATGACTGAATATTGCAAATTTCCACCTCGGTTTCGATCTTCTCTAATCAACGGTCCTCCCGAGTCACCCTGAAATTGAAAAATAATGAATGAACGAAACTGTTCTGCAAAACATCCTCCTAAAATCCCGCTCACCTGACATGTGTCGACTCCAGTGCCTCCCGCGCAAATTATGAAATCATCTACTCCGTGCGGCAAGATGTTATTCCTAAAATTTTTTAGGGACATGTAAGTGTCGTTGCATTTTTTTCTGGGTGCAATGGGCAGTTCAGCCTCTTGGAGAACTAGAGCGGTTTCCTTGGTAGCTGATAACGAAAAATTGCCCAAAATACAAAACAGGTTATAAGAATCCCCAAGACCTCAGAAATTCAATTCACCTGTGCTTATCTGTCCCCATCCCATGACGAGGATTTTTCTAGCTGGAAGTTTGGGCTCGACAGCGAATGGCAAGCAAGCTGGCCGGATGAATTCCGTGAAGCGTACTTCTTCTTTTAATCTGTTCTGGACATCAACATGGAAAAGACTCAGGAAAATTCACAATTTTTTAGAGGTGCACTGATCTTGGACCTACTTAATGAACAGTTATACTTTATCTGGAGAATAGTCGAAGAAACCATACAAAAAATCATTTCAACAAATTCATTCTTGAATTGTTCTCCAGTTGAATGCTGGCTCCATGCAGTTGCCAATCCCTTGTTCCTGGCGGTGGTGTAGTCCTTTTTATCTAGTCCACATTATGACAAACAAACCTGACAATGGCTATGTCATGATGAAGCTTTGGAGGTTGGTAGCCTTCATGAATAGAGATTTCTGCTGGAGTGAAGTCCATGGCATGTTCCTCTGAGGATGCGAGATCGTGAGCTCCCAGCTTGATCACTTGAGGACTTCTTGTTGAAGAGTAGAAAATCTTACTATTCATTCAAAATTGGTTAGAAGAGTACGTACTCAACTTGGAAACAATGAGCGGCTGACATGACGTGCTGGTTGGTGATTAGTGTTCCTCCACAGAACCAAAAAATTTTCCCATCAGTTCCTGCCATTCCCAAGAGTGCCTACAATTTTTAAAAATTGTCTTGATCTGATGAAAGCACGTCAGATCATTCCACAATACCATCCAAGGGTAATCACCAGGAATCTCCACAGGTCTGCCTTCGATGACAAGCAATTCTGCGAAAGCTTCAGGCGCTGTTCGAAGAGGACAGCTTTCACTTTTATTTCTGTGCCGACATCCGCAGTCTGAAAGACAAGTACAGTATGCATAATTTTAATGAAACACAGCATTCTTGTTCATCTTTACAATAGCTACCTGGATAAAATAAATTCCCGTCCTTGTTGGACAAGACGACTGCTGGAGATCGTGTAGTGAGATCATACTCTGGCCCTAATGGGGTAGCGGAATTTATGGAATCTTCGATTTGCCAGGAAATTGTTGTATCACCGGAGTCCACGTATTCGGACGTCGGAAATTCCGACTCCGTGGTCACTTGAATTGAGGAGGATGCATAATTAATGGTCTAATCGAAATGGTATGCGAATCCAGCGTTATCTTCAGAATTGCAGGTACCTAGAGCTTCGGTTTCCCTTTCATTGTATTCCAGTTCTTCAATGAAAGTTGCGGATTCAACGTCCTCAGAATATGAATCGTCCTGGGTGTCCACTCCTATGCTTTCGCGGATGTGTCCTGATCAGAAAAATGATCCCGTGACTCAAGCTTTACAGCAGAAACAATTTCATTACTGTACTGTACAGTACTTGACTTTATGTACTGTATATTCTCAGGGCATTTCGGGAGTAATTTTGCTCCCATCAGACGGGTACACATCGTTCAATCACCCCACCCCAATACCGCGTGCTGTGGTGAAAATAATCTGGCCACAGAGGAAGGTTCGCGATAACAACGACATAGGTGACTACTCCCAGTAATAGTAGAAATGAGTTTGTAACAGTTATGTCGCTGTGTTACAGCGTACAGCTTTGATAGAAGTGCAATGTGAGAAGTTCAGCAGGAAAGCGTAAATCCACCAACTGGGATACCTCCAGGTTCACTTCGCAAATTTAAAAAATGTGGGAGGGGGTCACCTCTCGTGTACAAGTGCCAAAAAATGTAGGCGATGAATTAATTTTCCAAGCCTGAAATGCTGGGCTAGTTGATTCTTACCGCTTATTGAATGTGTTGGGCAGCATATCATCCGCATCGGGTAAAAGTTAGCGTTATCCCAGCCGCAGATTTGTTGAAAGAATAGGAAGTGTCCTGTATTCTGTTGTGTGCAGTAGTCGAATCGAATGCACACGCGTGACGCTTCTCCTCCGTTGAGAATGCGGCATCTGAAGTCTCCATTAGGATATCTGAACGGCGGACCTGAGAATAATCGCACGATTTAATTTTATAAAAACAGTGGTACATTGCAAGTTCGCGAGAAACTAAATACGACGCGTATTAATTCCCTCCACCTGCTTTTAACTTTTTCCGAATGATCGTTTTCGCCGGGTTTGCTGGTTGCGTTCCCTTCCCGTGTTCTAACCTTGACACCGCACGTGATGTAAGGAAATTGCGATTATTGTAAAATGGACGAATAATCCCTGAATTGCAATTCCCATCGTTCCTTGAATATCCGAGCACTGAATAATAAATCCGCAGTGACGCACTGAACTTGATCGCGTGTGATGAACTTCTCTTGTCCCAGCTGTATAGATGTTAGATAGGACGAACGAACCCCCTACCCTTTTTTTTTAAAGCGTTAAACCTGTTTTTCCCACCCCCTCCCCTATCTAGAGATGTTCCCCATTTCTTAGTTGTGGAGATGTACGATAGTTGACGATCACAGTCGCGTCGCTGCTTCTGGAAGTGTCAACTACTTATCTGATTGAATTTTATCGCGAGAAATGTGTCGATGAAATGTCTGATGGATCCTTTGAAGTTATCATCGCGTGAAAGTTATTCGTCAGTGCTCGAAGTGAAATAGTCAGATGTTTTCCACATTCCTTTCAAGTTCAGAAGTATGCCTTGCTTCCATCCTTATTCTCTTGGTGAGTAATATTACAGCTAATTTTGATTCGATCTTCTTACTGATACTGTTTCTCCTCTGTGCAGGTCCACTCGACGCTAGCAACTACGCTAGGAGGTAATAATAAAATCAATGTCAAGGATCCCAGGATTCAAGAGATTTTGGAATGGACGGAATCGTTCATTGACCGCGAAACCAACAGCGTGAATTCTGTGAAGCTTTTTTCTGTGATCGACGCAAAGAAGCAGGTGAACCTGAGTATTTCACAGTATCCTGAACAAAATTCCTTCGCATTCTATAGGTGTCCGGTTTCTAATGTTGGCTGTTCGAATTCTTATGGAACCGACGGTCATAAATGAAACTTTAAATTATGCTTAGAGTTTGAGTTGAACCGTTTCAATTTAAAGATAGTACATGTAGTACGAATTTCTTTTTGAAGTTTGCATAACTTTAAATGTAGAATGTCGTCCTACGCCGTATAGAGATCATGTTGTGGATGAGGTGCACACGGTAAATTTTTTCCATTTATTTTAATCAATAATCGCGTTTTTTCAGATCGTTTCGGGAGTGAAGTATGATTTCGACCTCGAGCTGGCACACACAAGCTGTCCGAAAATTTCTGCTAATGATTCTAAAAATTGTGGGTTCGACCATTCCTTGGTAAGAATTTGAACCATTTTAGATGCGAAAATCCCCAATAATTGGCGGACGATATTTGTAGCCTCATGTTGCTTGCAAAATTCAAGTTTACGATCAACCTTGGACGAAGACCAGGAAGGTGTTAAAGTTCTCCTGCTCTGATTCTCCAACGGTTGAACCGTTCATGAAGAAGTTCGAGACATTCGAGAAGAGGCATAAAAAAGAATACAGCCCTGAGGAACGGAAACGTCGTTTTGCAATTTTCAAAGAGAACATGTTGAAGATTGCGGAACTGCAGAAAAATGAGCAAGGAACCGCAAAGTACGGACCCACCAAATTCGCGGATTTGAGCGAAGAAGAGTTCAAAAAGCAGTTTCTTGGATTTCGTCCGGATTTGAAATCCTCATCGCCGCTTTGGCCAGTAGCAGATGTCGCGGACATTGAAATTCCCGAAGCTTTTGATTGGAGAGATCATGATGCTGTCACTCCAGTAAAAAATCAGGTTTGTATTTTTTTGGACGTTCAAAAAGCTTCCGTTTTCTTAGAAATCTGCATTTGATAAACTTTTGATACGGAAATCTGCACAATGCTATGACCTTGGTTCCGGAATCGGTAGATGTCACTAGCTGTTAGAAACTTGAGATTCCATATTTCATTTCATGTTGTTTTGTAGCGTTTTCTTGTGTGCGATTGAGCACTTCCATTTCAATTCGAGAGTTTATGGGATTCTTGGACATTTAAATGCAAGTATGAGGACCATATTTTTTCCAATACTGTACGAGCAATTACATTACTTTTTAAAGCCTGTTCTGGAGGAATTCACGGTCACGTTTGCCTGACTATCGGAACGAAATAGAAGCTGTTCATTTTCTGTATTAATTTTTTATCCCGAAAAATTCTAAAGAAAAGAAGTTATGGTTTATGATTAACTTATTTTCAAGATGTAGCTGGATTTTTCTTCTCGCCTGGTTTAGTCATAAAGAGTGAAATATTCGGAAATTATTTCAGGGACTACTTCGAACTTCTTAATCTTCTAAACTACTTTCCAGACTCGAAATTTGACGCTCTCTGGATGCGTCCCACTTAAAATTGAGATCTATACGAAATACGTTCACTTTTCGATTACATAGTACAGTACAGTAAAATACACATTTTGCAGTCCGTATCTTGTTCTGAATTTTTGGCATATACTTACTGATTTTCCTTTAAAAATTTCCAGGGATTCTGTGGATCATGCTGGGCATTTTCAGTGACGGGAAATGTGGAAGGTCAATGGGCAATCAAGCGTGGCAAGTTGATCGAACTGTCGGAACAAGAGCTTGTAGACTGCGACACTCTTGATCAGGGCTGCAACGGAGGATTGATGGAGAATGCGTATAAATCTCTTGCGAAACTTGGTGGTTTGGAATCTGAGGCGGGATATCCTTACGACGGACGTGGGGAATCTTGCAAGTTCAATAAAACCGCCGTTCGAGCGTCTGTGACTGGCGGATTTGTTTTGCCGAAGAATGAAACTCTGATGGCGCAATGGTTGGTTCGCAATGGGCCCATTTCCATCGGAATCAACGCGAATGCTATGCAGGTACTGCAACTGATTTTTTTTTGTAGTTACTTGAAGTGTTGGTCTGCATTTTTGGTGGAATAAACGATTTCGTTCTACACCTACAGTTTTATTTTGGAGGTGTGAGCCATCCATGGAAAGCTTTGTGCAGCGCAGGAAGTCTCGACCACGGCGTCCTCATCGTCGGGTACGGCGTCCACAGTGAGTNTTGGTCTGCATTTTTGGTGGAATAAACGATTTCGTTCTACACCTACAGTTTTATTTTGGAGGTGTGAGCCATCCATGGAAAGCTTTGTGCAGCGCAGGAAGTCTCGACCACGGCGTCCTCATCGTCGGGTACGGCGTCCACAGTGAGTCACTTGATCTTTCAGTGTACTTTTTTCGTACATAACGGTATTTTTTGAAAATCTGATACTTCGTGTAACGTCCTTTTTTTCACATCCAGATCGTGCGCTATTCTTTGTGGCAGTCGGATTTTCGGTTAGCATTAAATCAACATAATGCATGACGCTAAAAAGCTCCTGATTTTAGCGAGTAATGAATAGGTATCCCTAATTCGATTTTCCATGCGATGTTCGGGTGATGAGAAAATGAGCAATAAACAAAAGCTGTTGAGTTAATTTTTTTCCAATGCCATAAAGATTTCAGTGTCGTTGCCGAAAGGTAAACCGCACTTGCCCTGTTTCTAACCCAAGGGGTTACAATTTTTTGTCTTCTCACTTCCTTTTTATTACCTCGACAGTTGAAATACTGTACTGTAAAATCTCATTACAACAAACCATTGGCCATTTCCAAGTTTTGAAATGAAGCCAGATAAATTTTGATCAGACCTTCATATTTCTTGCAGTGCTAACGTTTGTGTACAGAAAAAGTGCTACAGTATTTATATTTATTGAGTTTTATTTTATGCTGCAGTTGGTTTTTCCCATATTTCTGCCAATTGGTGAAGAATTCTATGGCTCATGCACACGTGTTCAACGCGAAAATTCGTTATACTGAGATTATAGAGGACAATTATTTCGTTATAATGGCATTTCTAAAATCTTGTTAATGAAGAAGTGCTGGGATCAAGAAAAATCTATCAACAAAAAACTTCTTTGTAACGGAATTTACTAATGTGAGAAAGAATGGTAGAAAGTTGATGGAGGGTNTTTTTTTTTGTAGTTACTTGAAGTGTTGGTCTGAATTTTTGGTCGAATAAACGATTTCGTTCTACACCTACAGTTTTATTTTGGAGGTGTGAGCCATCCATGGAAAGCTTTGTGCAGCGCAGGAAGTCTCGACCACGGCGTCCTCATCGTCGGGTACGGCGTCCACAGTGAGTTACTTGATCTTTCAGTGTACTTTTTTCGTACATAACGGTATTTTTTGAAAATCTGATACTTCGTGTAGCGTCCTTTTTTTTCACATCCAGATCGTGCGCTATTCTTTGTGGCAGACGGATTTTCGGTTAGCATTAAATCAACATAATGCATGACGCTAAAACGCACCTGATTTTAGCGAGTAATGAATAGGTATCCCTAATTCGATTTTCCATGCGATGTTCGGGTGATGAGAAAATGAGCAATAAACAAAAGCTTTTGAGTTAATTTTTTTCCAATGCCATAAAGATTTCAGTGTCGTTGCCGAAAGGTAAACCGCATTTGCCTTGTTTCTAACCCAAGGGGTTACAATTTTTTGTCTTCTCACTTCCTTTTTATTACCTCGACAGTTGAAATACTGTTCTGCAAAATCTCATTACAACAAACCATTGGCCATTTCCAAGTTTTGAAATGAAGCCAGATAAATTTTGATCAGACCTTCATATTTCTTGCAGTGCTAACGTTTGTGTACAGAAAAAGTGCTACAGTATTTATATTTATTGAGTTTTATTTTATGCTGCAGTTGGTTTTTCCCATATTTCTGCCAATTGGTGAAGAATTCTATGGCTCATGCACACGTGTTCAACGCGAAAATTCGTTATACTGAGATTATAGAGGACAATTATTTCGTTATAATGGCATTTCTAAAATCTTGTTAATGAAGAAGTGCTGGGATCAAGAAAAATCTATCAACAAAAAACTTCTTTGTAACGGAATTTACTAATGTGAGAAAGAATGGTAGAAAGTTGATGGAGGGTGTGTGAAATTATATGTAGTACTCCAAAAGTTACGATCAATGGATGCGGTACTTCATCAATTCGCACATTTCCTTGCAGAAACGAAATTCTTGCATCGTGAGCTGCCGTACTGGATTGTCAAGAACAGTTGGGGACGTGGCTGGGGCGAAAAAGTTGGTTACCTTTCCAAGAATTTCCTTCTCGATTACCGAAGAAAACGTCCGATTCATGTGCTTTTTTCTCCCCTCTTTTGATAGGGTTACTACCTGGTTTACCGTGGAGACGGAACTTGCGGAGTGGACCAGGAAGCCTCTTCGGCGACAGTTATGTAGGGTTGTGTACGAAATGAAAACAAATTTTACCGGTGATCATTTGTGGCAAATCTTCGCGTCGACGCCCAGTGTTGGCGTACGCGATGTGCTGTCGTTGCTCTCCCACATTCGCGTTCTCAACGGGTCATCTCGACGTGTCAGCATTGTTGCACGGAAATATGTAGTTTTTTTCCTTTCGCTTTCGGCTTTTCCCCCGAGCGGAAAAAGTGTCACTGTGTCGTCTTACGAGCGTTTTACTAATTTTTTTGGTGGGAGACATTTTTTTTAATCGCAGGACTGAAGAAAGAAAAAAAGGGGCTTGTGTGGTGCTTGTCCGCAAATTATATCTTCAGCAAAAAGTTAAAAAAAAAATTCTACCCTCGGCTTAGCTCATTTATCTTGGAGGTCCAGTGAAATTGAGGTATTATGAAGCAGCTAGACAAGGTTGGTGGTGCTGCTGTTCCTCGTTTTCCGTGCGGGAAATCTGGAGAAGAGACAAATGGTGCAAGGTTTTCTATCTTTTCCGTGTGTTACTTGTGTTCTTTTTGTTTAGGGGAATCGCTATGAGAGAAACTTACTGGAGTCAGATGAAAGGATTTAGCTTTCAATTCGTCGTCAAGAGAAGTGATACGAATATCAAAAAAAGAGAGCTCGGGGTATTTTGTGATTGCACTCGAAGTAAAGGTTGTTTTTAGTCTGCCAAATTCAGCGGGAAGTTTTTCATCGTGTCTGTTTTCCTGTGGGTGTCTTGGCATAATATAGTAGCAAAGAATCTCAATCACGTCCGAATCGATGATTTTTTCGTGAATAAAGCCTCGCTTTTTTTTTTACGTCTCATTTTTTAATTGAAGAATGAAAGTTTTTTATTTTCTGCAGGCAAATGGACAAGATTTGCCGACATTGTATGGATACTACACGGAAGGAGGGATCGTTAGTGGCTTGGAAGAAGATGGAACTCAATTCCTGCTCAATGGGAAACGAATCCAATTGATCAGCGGATCAGTGCACTATTTTCGGATTCACCCGGATTACTGGAGGTCGAGTTTGAGGAAGCTGAAGGCATGTGGAATGAACGCTGTGATCACGTGAGGCTCTCGATTGATATTCCAAGTCGGAATCATTGATTCGATTCCCAGTTTTTATTCAATTTTTTTTTAATCTCGCAGATACGTTCCCTGGAACTTGCACGAACCGGTGAAGGACGTGTACGATTTCGGAGAAGGGGATAATGACATGTCGTTGTTCTTGGATTTGGACTCTTTCTTGAGAATTGCTCGGGAAGAGGAATTATTCGTGATTGTTCGACCCGGGCCGTACATATGCTCAGAATGGGATTTCGGTGGGCTGCCGAGGTGAGTTTTCGAATAACAAATAGAATCTCTGAACGAACGATTTTCTCTAAATAGCGATTTTTTGTGTAGTCCAATGGGGTTTTCAACGACGAATATTTTCTGGTCCCCTGAATTACGTTGTCGAGTGTCCACCTGTATTTGGATTCAGAAACATATTCTATACCTAGAACATGAATTTCAAGAAGGAAAAAATCTGGAAATTTTCAAATTCTGAAAACTATTTTCAACGTGATGGAAGAATATCGAAAAGTGTTTACCCAGTTGTAAAATGTACATGGCATTAAACTTTTTCGAAGCATAAAAATGTTTATTCAGACCTACTGGAAGAGAGTACTGAATGCGAAAGTCCGTGGCACCTGGAGTCTATTGCGAGAAAAAGTCCATTATGCTATGCACCCATTATATCTTACTGTTGCTGATTTCGAAAAATATTGCATTTCGATGAATAATTGTAAATCGATGCCAATTTCGATCTTTAAAGTTGGATTAAAAAAATATGTGATCGTGCTAGTTTTTTTTGTGGCCGTGTGTAATGAAGGAGTTAATTTTTCTGAATCCTAGGTGTAAATCCTCGCATTTTTATTCTAATTTTTTCATTATTCTTCGCTGAGTTGTAATTTTGGTGTGAATTTTTTTACTCTCAGTCATGGCCTTCGAAGCGTAAATTATGTCGCTGAGAACAACATCTTTTCATCACTCCTGCTCTTAACTTTCAGTTACCTATTGCGTGATCCTGAGATGAGGGTTCGAACAGCGTATCCCGGCTATATGGATAGAGTGAGCGAATTTTACCAACGATTGGTGCCGATTCTGAGACTTCACCAGTGGATGCCGGGAAATGCAGGCCCCATTATTGCTGCTCAGATAGAGAATGAATATGGAGCCTTTATCAGATTGAGTGGCATCGAAAGAGATACAGTGTATTTGGAAGGCGTGAGGGACCTGATGATCAATAATGGGCTGGATAAAATATACTTTTTCTTTTCGGATTCGCCTGCATCGACAGGATTGGATGGTGCATTGGATGGTTGTAAGTTGAATTTTAGTCGTACACACACACTTGTACAGTACTGTATTATTACATGACGTTGGAATTTCATTCACAATTTTTAAATATTTTAGAGAAACTCGGAACTTCGAGTTTACAGTGAGTCCCGCAAAACGGAAAACCTGTGCAACGAAATATTTGCATAACGAAAATTCTTATAAGGGAAAAAGTGACTCGCAGAAGGGATGTTTTCACAGAAACCCAAGTTTCAGCAAACAGAAAAAGAAAATTTCAAGTTAAACTTGGGATTTTTTCTAAGAATTGAGGGTTTTCCCAAAAATTGAAAAAAAGGTTCCGGTGTAGGAGGCCTTGAATCTTCCTATGCTTGACATTTGAGGAATTCAGAAAGTTATGAGTAACAGTTGTCAGTACTGCAATCTCGTGCTAACAATATTAAATTTCACAATTTTCTGCGAAACAGTATTAAATTAACAATTTTCTGCTGAAAAATATGCAGATTTTATAGTTTATTTTCTTCTTTTGGTGATTGGATGGAAGCAAATGAATAAATTTGAATTCAATGTTGAGGGAAAAAGCGTTTCACTTAGCGGACGGTCTGCAAGACAGAACTCATTCAGGAACGGATTAATTTCGTTATGCGTGGACCCACTGTTTTGAAAGTAAATATTTGTTTTCAAGTTTTTGGACTTCACGTTCGTTCATTTTTTTTTAGATCTGATGACAGCGAATTTCCAAGGATCAGCTGAAGCTCAATTCAACGCGCTGGAACAACTGCAACCCCTTCGTCCTTTATGGGCGATGGAACTCTGGGCTGGTTGGTTTGATCACTGGCTGGAAGGCGCTCATAACACATTTCCTATAGAAAGTAAGACGATTATTCCAGTTGATTGAACCTTGGATTATCATCTGTTCTGACATTTTCAACAGCGACGTTGGAGGACCTCCGAGTAATCTTCTCTCGAAACGGATCCGTCAATTTTTACATGTTCCAAGGCGGCACTAATTTCGGTTTTCTCAACGGTGCCAACAGCATTGTACCCACTTTTCCTAATTACATACCAGATACGACCAGTTACGGTAAGTGACCCATTTATGGCCTGGAGTACCGTATTAACTCGGGCACCTTTTTTTCGAAAAACCGGGGGGAAAAAATAAGGTGTGAATCATAGTCGAGTACGAATTTTCCAGGATATTTTCTTAAACTTCAGACTTTTTCCCGCTTCGAAATGTTTTTTATTTTAGTTTTCTTCTCTAATGATTCCTTGTTTCTTGCTTGAGATAAAAAATCAACATTGAAGTCAATTTTTGAGTGGGCTTGTATTCAGATTTTTACCCCTTGTAGTTTTTAAAATATGAATTTTGGTAGGTGAAAACTAAGGTGCGCGTCTTATGCGGGAATGCAAATTTTTTGGTGCGCAAAATTCGAGCTGAAAATAAAGGTGCGCGTGGTACTCGAATACCGTAAATACGGTTATCCCAGAATCTTGAATTTCTTTTTATACCTTGATGACAGATTACGATGGGTGTATCTCGGAAAGTGGTGATTACACTGAAAAGTACGAAGCCGTGTGCTCTTTTATGCAAGCAAATACTATCAATCCACCGATTGCTTTGCCTGAACGGCCTCTTGAAACTTCGAAAATGGCACCTGTTGCTATTCCGGTTTCGTCTTATTTGACACTTGACGACCTGCTATCACAGAATGTGGTGAGTGTTGGAAGCGATGTTCTTCTGTGTCAAATTTTCTGTAGATGAGCTCAATTTTTGTCAGTTGTACGAGCATGTATTACTGAGATTTTGACAATCAGTTAATCCAGGACGAGAATATCCCATTTCCTTTGGCTGAATTGACCAGTTATCATACTTGGTCTAAGTTACGTGTAATTTGCGTGGATAATGCATTTGAATATTTATTTTTTTAAGGTTCATGTCACAAACGCTCGACCTCGCTTTCTTAATTGTATGTCAGGTATCTCTTGAAAATTGAACCCGGCTATAATTCCACGAAAATAATCAAAACTTGAAAATAATGTACCCGAGGTCGAAATCGGAGGACTCGGGCAAGACCTACGAACGAAACCGATGTAATTGAACATTGCAATCAAAGGTTTGGAACGTCTGTCAACATGAAAAAGAAAAATCGATCCAACTGAGAAATGGGAAATAGGAAAAATTGAATCGAACCGTCGGGATATTTTATGAAAACGAGAATTAAGATTCTTGAACATACAGTACGTGATTTGAGTGAAAAAATGTGTTCAAAGATGTAAATAACGATGGCATTTTCGTTGATTTTTTGAGTGGAAGAGCTTTGATTTAATGTATATGGTTTGATGAATTTGTTGAAGAAGACGTGGAAAATCGGTGCAAAAATGGCTTCTATTAGAAAATTGCTTAAAAACCCGTACCTTCGTAGGTAGTTCATTGTACTGTTTTTGACTCCGAAATTCCGTCAGCTCAAACATTATTTCTTTCGCAGCCATTGTATACGGAGGAGAAATTGGTCAACATGGAGAACTTGGGGACCAGTGAAATAGACGGACAAGACTACGGTTTTCTGCTCTATAGAAAAACAGCCATTCTGCCAGCCGGTGAAAATATTATCACGTTTGCGACGGAAACCAGGGACATGGTTACCGTTATGATTGATGGTGTTCATCAGATCGGACCACTGACGACTGAAGATGATCTCCTTGGACCCGGTTATTGGTATGCAAGGTCTGTTCTTCAGGTTGATTTATAAAAAAAAAAGAAAATGCATTCCTGGCTTTAGCCTTATTATCATTTGCTTATTATTTTAAACCTTATTCATTAATTTGCTTCCTTCGTGTGCTAATAGAAAATGTATTTCGCGTTAAATCTCGACAAAATATTTTAACGTGTGAGGCTTTTTATGAATCAATTCTGGTACAGTTTCTTACATCCCAGGCATTGGAGCCATTATGTCATCAGAGTGGCTATTGAAGATTCATTCTCATTTCCCGATATATTTTTTTCACTGCCACGTTGTTTTCACGTCAGGTTGCAGTGAAGCTAGGGACAGATTTGAGAGAAGAAAGAATTGGGCTTTTTCGGAGAGCTGATCAGGTTCTCCATTCGTCTTCGAAAGCTATTAGAAATATTTGACGAAGACGGTCGGAATTCTGAATTCCTCAAACCCATGAATTGCACATAATTCAATCGATTGTGATCTTGGATGAATACCCTATGAATTTGGAACATTTCGACCTTCATCTTGGCTTTGTAAGATAAAATCAAGGCTTTTTAATTCGTGTAATTATTTTAAATTATTTTCCTGCTGTAATCAGCATTTGAATGCGTCTAAAATATTAGGAAAAAATTGTACGAATGATGGAATTGAAACTGTTTGCATGTGACCCTAGAAATGTATTCAAACCTCCTCAGACCGCGAATGAACTTGAAAATTTTAAAAATATATTTTCTTTTGCAGAGAACCAACTCTGACCGTCGTCGGGGAAGATCGTAGCGTAACACTGGACTTCCTTGTGGAAAACCTGGGAAGGGTGAATTATGGAGCCGCTTCTGTGTATGAGCACCAACAGAAGGGGTTGATTGGCGGCAATATTTTGCTGAACGGAGAACCCTTGAGCGTCTGGGAAACGAGGCCATTGACATTCAAGGCTAATTGGGTGAAACAGTAAGAATACAACAGTGAAATCAATTTCACTGTATCTACTCGAGTAAGACGCGCACCTGGTTTTTTTTTATTCAATTTTTTATCCTCTTGCAACTATTGGTACTTTCCGGTTATCTCAGTACCCATTTTTCTTTGTCTTGTGAATTCAGTATTTGTTAGATTAAGTTAGGTCAGGTTATGTTAGTTACAAATATCTTTCAATCAACATAACCTGACCTAACCTAACTTTACCTAACCGCCTCCCAAAATCAGTTTCAGCAGAATGCAGAGAAATGAAATCCGCAGTTTCTGGTAGGTGCATGGAAAGTAGGTACTGAGATAACAGGAAAGTACCAAATTCATCAATATACTGTAATGGAATGATCTTTAGGATTGCATCTTGAGAAAATAACTGGTCAATAGGTAAAAATAGTATGACGTGTAGAGGAAAACTGTGCTCATGTTTGTTTTCCGCGGGAAAATGTGTAAAGATTTTTTTGAGGCTCGGTTCTGTGCGGTTCGGAGAATGTATCTTATATATCCTGTACTACATACTGATTGACGTGTTCGATTTTTTGAATGATTCCATCTGATTAGTAAAGAAACACTACAGTATATAGTCAATGAATTTTTAAATCTGTTTTTCATAAATTTGAAATTAGTGATTTACATCAATAATACAGATATCAGGCACACTGTGTTGGGGGAAAAAAATATCTGCTGACGTTGTGTAAGTGAACGCTGAGCAACATGGAAAAAAAGTTCAGTTTTCATGTGGTTGATGTGGCCGAGGTAAACGTTTCCTGAAGCAAACCAGGAACAAACGCCGTAGCAAATTATTCTTCTGAAATGTCGTGCTTTGAATTGGTTACAAATTGGAATGTGCTCTCATTTTTGTGCCGGAGAGATTCTCGAAATGATGCTTAAATTCAGTATTCGTTTCATTGCAGAACAAATGATTCTTCTTGGATCGATCCCACGCCTGGAGCTTGTTCGTGCCCTGGAGAAGCACATCGGAAGAGAACGGAGAATGAAGGCTGCGAGCAGATGGCACAATCTGGCCCAAAAGTATGATTGTTTCTTCACGCGATTAAAAAAAAAGTTCCCTGATTTTAACGTTTTCAAAAAATTCTAATTATTCCGGGCTGTTGGAAATTTTTTCATTAGACGTCGCACCGATTAACAGGAAAAAGATGGGGTTAACGCTGAAGAAACATTCGTTTATTGTTTCTCAATTTGGGAATTTCTGACTTGAATTCTTTGAAATTTAGTCTATAGATTTTTCCATACTTAGAATTTTTTTAAAGGAATTTAGCTTAAATTGTGAACACCAAGAATAATTATTGTAGTGTTTTGCCAAAATTTTAATGGGATACGTGAATAATTTTTTCTCACATTTTGGCTAAAGTTTACTATGAAATCAGATTTTAATTCTGCAGAAGGAAGATGAAAGACAATTTGAATAATAATTATTAATGGGGTTTTTCCGATATGGAAACTATTGTTTTTCGAAAATTAAGTTATTAAGATGCACTTTATTGGCAGAATAATCGAAAATTCGAAGAAGACGGAATATTATTTGGCAGATTTTCGTATCTCCTCGAAAAGGATCCCTCATTCTAATCGTTTTTCGTTTCTCTTTCTTGTTTGGGTCAGAGCGTTGCTGGAGTCACGAGTGAAAGAACTGGCGGCGTCCCGAGAAGCCATGATGTGGTCTCGTGCGAGTGGCACGGACGCCGAATCCGTGTCGAGTCTGACCGGCTTGCGACACAACGGGAAAGACGAGGACGGCGACGGAGCCATGACCGCCACCTCGACGACCAACGCGCGGCAGGAAGAACTGGCGGCGAACCTGATGCGGAATGCCTTGGGTGTGGACTCGTCGTCGTCTGGGGATCAAGGGCAGGATCATGCGCAGTCCCAGTCGTCGCCGGTTATTGGTGGCGGCGGCGGCAGCGGCGAAGGCGGTCGGAGATCGTCGCGGTTCGAGGTCGTGCCGACGTCGAGTGACGCTGAGAAGACGGCGGCGGCGGCTGCTGCTGCCGCGGCGTCTGCGAAGGCGAAGGGATCGAAAGAAGATGAGGAGGCCAGCAAGCGTCAGCAACACGCTACCGACTTGTTGATGGAGGTACATCGATTGGAAGATTTATAATAATTTTTTTTGTGCCTACGATTATGGAAGTTGGCGAAAGAAATTATGGACTGATGTACGAGAGGTCTAGGAGACATTTGTGGTAAAGTACTGTGCTTTAATTCACCCCAAGATTGGTAGAGTTGTAAATGGTAGAATAAAATTGAGGATTGAAAGAACACTCATGACTGAATGTAGGGCTGTGAGAAAATTTACCCTGAGGGGAAGAAGAGCAAGAGAGGAAAATTAAAAATTATTCTACCAAAAACTCTTAGAAATTATAGATAGAAATTGGAATGGCATATGATTGAGCTGAAAAACAAGTATTGTTGATAAACAAACATTCTTTGGCACAAGAAAAATTCAGCCTTTTTTCAACATTTTTAAAATTTTTTTGCAAAACAGTCACCCTAGCAGCTTTTGCTCTGCACTCGAAAGATGAGGCGCCCATTTGGCAGCTTTTTTTGGTGTAGCCCAGGTTCTCCTTCAGATTATTTTCATAAACAGCCGCCATATTCTCATCCCAAGTGGCGGCTGTTGATGAAAATAACGGAATTAATAATCAATTATTGGGAGCAAACCTTGGAATTTATGCTGTGTCAATTTCAAGAATCCTGAGGGGAAAGCTGAGGTACACAAAAAATTGACGCCTCATCTTTTGAGTGACTTTTGCGAACATTTTCTGAAAAATGTGTCATACAGGGCTGAGTTTTTTGTTGTTGCGTCAAATATTGTTTTGTTTTTTTGAGCTATCATTGCTTTTTGGCTCAATTATGTGCCGTTTCTATCTATATTTCGAGAGCGTTTGTTAAGACACCTTAAAACAGTATTTAGAACTGTATTTATATTTTGGTAATGAGTGGCTAAATTTGGCGTCGAATTGAAAAGATTCGAAAAATTAAACAAGCCCTCGAGGTTTTATGCTCCATTTCTTCGGACTATGTGTGCATATTTTATCGTTTGTTTGTTTTTTTTATGATGAGAAATGCGAATGAAGAGGCCCCGACTCCTTCCGTTTTGTTTCGCAGTTCAGCGTGAATAAGGACTATTCGGCCACGAACTCGTTGCCGGCGCCGGGCCAGCGCCCCATCAAGTCCATTCTGAAGAAGACGCCGTCATTCCATTTCCCCGCCGAGGGTGAGGACGTGGACGGCTCTCAAAGACCGTCGCGTTCCCGCGCAGGAACGAGTGTGAAGAACTCGCCCTATGGCACGATGGACAGCACTCGGATGCGAAGAGCCATGGACGTGTGGAAAGCCCTGGGAAGAGCTGCCTCTCAGGTGTCGTGTCTTCTTTTGTGTCTTTCTTCTCTTCTTTTTTGCTATAGCTTTGCGAGTGTTTTGAAATTATTATATTTTTTTGCTGAACTGTAGGGAAGAAGAGTACTTTTTTTTTTACCTGATTGCACTTGCATTTTTTAGCTGAACCTCTGTCGATGTACTAGCTTCTCTCCTCATCGAGAACGATTTCATCTTTGTGAAGGACGTTTTCTATTTTCTTCAAAAAGTTTTCTTTTTTGTAAAATTTTGACCATCGATTATGAAGTTTTTTCTGACTGAAAAAAATTAATCAATTATAAATCACAAAGATTAATAATTTTCAGGAAGAAGACCAAAAAAATTTGGAATGTTGCATTCCAAATCTTTTGAATGCAATAACAAAAAAAAGAACAAGAAAATGGAATGCATCATTCCAAGTTTTTTTGTTCTTCTTCCAAAGAATGATTAATTTTTGTGTGAAGAAAAAAAATTTGGGATGCATCAGTACTTTTACAATTTCAAAAAAATTGAAATGAACAGTGATTCAAAATTTAGAATTTAAGCACTTTTTACCCTGAAATAAAAAGGATAGGAATAATTGGGAATCAGGGATGAACCCTGAGCAACAGGGAGACAACTCCAGTTTAAAAAAAAACATGAACAGCATCTGATTGCTGCAGAGACTAGTCCATCCCTATCCTGCCTTCAGACCTTGAGGCTGAAAATAAAAAAAGATAAACAGAAGTCTCCTAAAAGCTCATGGTAATAAGAAACATATCACAAGCAGAAATCAGAAAAATAAAAATATTTGGAAATGAAAAGTGCTTTTGGAAAAATACAAAATGGACTTGGTTTTTTTTTTGTGACAAACTAAATAATTATTGAAAAAAATTTTAAATGTAGGATATATTGTTCTGAATACAAGGAATAGTTTCAGTTTTTTGTCTGGAATGAAAAATTTTTGAACAGCTTGTGACATGGCTGGAAAACGATTACCAAAATAAGAAAGTTTTCACTTATTGTCTTGCAGTAAATCTAAAAACTTTCAAAAAATTCGACAAAAAAAAACCCAGAACCTTAAATTTGGATGAGCTAAATGGTAAAAAAAAATTTCAAGTGGTACCTAGTCTAGAAATACCCAAGGTCAATCAGACATGGGACAGCCCTTGTATAATGCCAAATTGTCCTTTCTGTTTTGTTTTTCCTCTATTCTGTCTTCCTTCCCAGGTGACGTATCTTCTTCTGTGTTTCTTTTCCTAGCTTTGTAAATATTTCGATTTTCCCTTTCGGAACTGTATAGAAGAGTTCTTGCTTTCACATGATTTTCAAAATGTTGTTTTCGTGGTTGTTGAGAGTTTAAAATTTTTGAGTATCGATAATGTTTGTTTTTCTGATTTAAGATTTTATGTGTATGATGCTAAATGTTCCTTTTGTGTTTCTTTATTCTGTCTGCCTTCTAGGTTTTGTATCTCCTTCAATGTTTTTTGTGTTCTTCATCTCACCTGATTGCCAGAGAGTTGTTTTTTTATTTTTTTGAAAGATAGAAAGCGTTTAAAATGTTGAGACTCGATGATGTTCGTTTTTCTGACAGGATGGTTTCGCTAGTGTTTCTTCTCTTGGCTTCGGAATGCA